CGGCAGAGAGGCTATATCAATTTATTTGGATGAGGTGGCCTCTAGGTTTGAAATGGGTTTCATTTAGAGGAGGTGGCTAACAATTTTAGTGTTTTCTAGCCACTAGGCCAGCCGATCAGGCCAGTGAAGTTGGCTAGGTGGTTAGGTGAGTCAGGAGAATATGTACAGCAATTATATGAGTTGAGGTTTAGTTTTGGAAAAAATATCCAAGGCTTAAGCAAATATGGAATCAAAATCCCTTGATTTAGGGGACCTTTGGTCCATGGCTTAGCTTAGGTAGTTTTATGGGGTTTAGCTTGGTCACTAGGGTTCAACTAATGGCCGTGGAGTCATTAATTTGGTGACTTTGGGGTGGTTAGGCTAATTTTAGTGTTAGTGCATGGGTCCAATAAGAGTTCAAATGATCAAAACTTAGGTCTGGGATAGATTAGCCATGTCAATTGACCCTATTTATTGATGCATTTGAAGTAGATGATTGTAATGAACATTTTTGGTGAAGGGTTGAAGTGATTTTGAGTTCAAGTGGAGGGTAAATTTGAAAGATTTTTTAAATTTGCTCAATTTGAGTATGTTGGGCTAGACTTTGGTCTAGATTGGGCTTGCCTTGTGCTATGTACAAATTGATTATTGATAATGGTCAATAGTAATATCATGAAGAATTTGTAACATGAATTGGGTGCCAATTTTGGGGCTAAAGCATTCAATTTGGTGAAATTTGGACGCATAGCCAATTTGGGCCAAAATTTAGGTTAAAAATAAATCAAATTGAGGCTTCACCAAGGCCAATTGAAGGTCAATTTTGATTTTTAAGAATGTTATGAAGAGTTTAGGGTCCAAATTAAGACCAATGGAGTAGGCCATGGGGTTCAATTTGGTGGAACCAAGTCATAGGGCCAAAATTGGGGCTTTTGATTTAAATCAAAATTAGGCTCAAATCATGGTCCAATTTAGCTTGGATTTGGTTTATATTTGTCATATGAAAGGTGAATTTGAGTTTAGAATTGAAATTGGGGAAAATTGGGGCTAATTTGATGGACATTTGAGGTGGATTTGGGGAGATTGGGCCTTTAAAGGAAATTTTAGGGATTTTGGTCAAAAGAGTCAAAATGGCCAAATACGATCATGTGGTAGTTGAAAAAAAGTAAAATTGGGAATATTTGGAATATTTTTAGAATTTTTGGGATTTTTTGAAATTTTTAGAATTTTTGGCTATGGAGGGGCATTTTGGTAATTTGAGATTTTTGTGGTTTTGGGTAATTTGGATGTTTTCAAAAGTTTTGAAATGATTTTTGAACAAATTTGGGTATTTTGGGCAAATTCAAATTTGGGTATTTTGGGTAAATTTGGGAATTTTGGCCAAATTTAGGGTTTCAAGGGAACTTAGGTAATTTGGGGGAGTTTAGGGGCAAATGGCTAAGTTGGGCATTTTGGTAAAGTTGGGGTGCCAACGACCATAAATAAGCCATGGACCAATGAAAATCCTATTTGGGTCCCTTATGTAGTGGTCTTAGCTAAAACCCTAGCCTAGGGCTAGTGGGTTTAGGGGACCATCTACATGAGTATCCCGAAGGATCAAGGGATCAAGTTAAAGGAATTTTGGGTTTGTATTTGTGATTGGTTGTTAGTGAGGTGATTGCTGGTGAGCGCCTTAGATTTAGACCAACACCCAGGGTCAACCCTAAGGTCCAACAGTCCTATGGGAACTCTCCTTGAGCTCTGTCATAATGACTACACCTTCTAAGTGCTAAAGGTTAGAACCGATACGTAGAGCTTCAAGTTGAGTAAAGAGGAGTTTAGAATTTCTAATGGTGAGGGTTCCTTTTCTAGTTTTCTAGAAATAGCCAATAGGAAGTCTTATGGCTAGACCTTAGGCTACTAAAGAGGAAAATTAAACCTCAGCCAAAAGTGAGGTCAACAAATGAACCCCCAGTAGGTCTGGTGTGCTGAGCAAAGCACAACGCGCGTATTGGCGTTGACCGGCGAGATGAACAAAACCAATACAAACTCTTAAGTCGAGAGACATTGGAGTGTGGGATTGTAAGCGATATTTGCTTTCGTTGGGGAACATAGCAGGTGAATGTTTGACCAAGTGAAGAAGTAGAGACTCTCGTTGGGGATTGGAGAGTGGGTTCTGATTTATCAGATTTCAAGAATTTGTAGATGATGGGAGTCAGTGTGTAAGTGCTAACCCCGAGGTGGGAATTGAAATTTAGGTATAAATTTCAGAAGAGGGTCAAAAATTAAGGACCGATCATGAAAAGAGAGGAATCAGAAGTTTGAGACTGATTCCAGGATAATTATTGAAATTTAAGGATCAAGCACAAGAGAGAATGTCAGAAGTTAGGGACCGACCTTAAAGGGTGAATCAGAGGTTAAGGAATGATTCTAAAATGAGAATTGAAAGTTAATTCTCAGAAGAGAGTGTTGGAAGGTAGAGACCGACCTCGAAAGTGTGAATCATAAATTAGGGACTGATCCAAAAGTTAGAATTTAAATGTAATGATCAATCTCAAAAGAGAGCGTCAGAAGGTAAGGACTGACCTCAAATGTGTGAATCATAAATTAGGAACTGATTTGAAATTGAGAATTGAAAGGTAAGGATCAATCTCATAAGAGAGCGTCAGAAGGTAATGACCGACCTCAAAAGTGTGAATCAGAAATTAGGGACTTATTTAAACATGAGAATTGAAAGATAGTGATTAATCTCAAAAGAGAGCGTTAGAAGGTAAGGACTAACCTCAAAAGTGTGAATTAGAAATTAGGGATTGATTCAAAAATGAGAATTGAAAAGTAGAGATCAGTCTCAAAAGAGAGCGTCAAAAGGTAAGGACCTACCTCAAAAGGGTGAATCAGAAATTAGAGACTGATTTGAAAATGAGAATTAAAAGGTAAGGAGCAATCTCAAAAGAGAGCATCGGAAGGTAAGGACCAAAATCAAAAGTAGTGAATCAGACATTGGGGGTCGATTCAAAAATGAGAATTGAAAAGAAATGATTAATCTCAAAAGAGAGCGTCAGAAGGTAGGGACCAACCTCAAAAAGGTGAATCAGAAGTTAAGGACTGATTTGAAAATGAGAATTGAAAGGTTGTGATCAATCTCAAAAGACAGCGTTGGAAGGGAAGGATCGACCTCAAAAGTGTGAAATTAGGGACTGATTCAAAAATGAGAATTAAAAGGTAAGGATCAATCTGAAAAGAGAGCGTCAGAAGGTATGGACCGACCTCGAAAGTGTGAATAAAAAATTAAGGACTGATTCGAAAATAAGAATTGACAGGTAAGGATCAATCTCAAAAGAGAGAAAAGTGTGAATAAAAATTAGGGACGGACTAGAAAATGAGAATTCTACGGAGTTTGTAGTGTTTAATTTAAAGACATGTGTTACATGCAAAGGTTGACATTCTTGAAGAGGATTTGTCAAAATTTGTGAGTTTTTGCTCAGAATGCAAAATTATTTGGGAATGTGAAGAGAATTAGTGTAGACAATGATAGTTTCGTTGCGTAATCAAAAAGTAAGAAACTCCAAAATTGAGAGAATCCACTCAACATATTTATCTTCTTTTATTGTTATTTTTATCACATTTAATTTTTCAAAATATGTTTTAAAAATTTGATTTTATTTGGTTGATTTTTCAAAAGAGAGTTGTTTTGTTGTTTATTTTTTTTTTTAATTTTTTTGTTTAAATTTTATTATCGTGTTTATCCTTTTATTAAAAAATTTTGTGTTTATCCTTTTGTTATTTGTTCGTTGTAATTTTGAACCAATGTGTAATTTGTGGCTTCCATCCATTGCACTAAATGGAATTTACAAAAAGACACATTTCTGAACAAAACTTCATTAATTTGCCCCAACAAATTGTTACAGATCAAATGTAGGCCAGTGTCTCAAAAGGTAGAATATGCAAAATGCATCAAAGTACATCCAAAATATCTCATTCCAAGTACACATCATAGGCTAAGCATCTCTGGTACATATCAATCTGTTGTAATGTAGTAAAGAAGAAAGGGATTCTCCGACTGTCTGTTCCTATTATGATGAGCTCCTAATCAAGATGACATTCTAAGCCACACTTCAGGACAAGAGTTCAACCCTCTCATAGCTCGTAAGGTAGTAGTTCCTCTAGTTCTGGATATGTCTGAAATCCATGTGACATCTTGTTATCATCCATCCGTCGGAAGGTTACGGACACCATGCGGTGTCGCACTCCTGGAATGCAATGCTTGGCAACTTCTGCACCGTTGCCTTTAAGAACAAGCACTGACCCAACTGCTAGGGGAATTTACACAGATCCTCTAAACTCACCAGGCTGATGGCGTCAATTTATTTTCCAAATAAAAAGTTTCTTTTACTCATGAATGAGACCATAAAATAAGGTCTCACTAAGTCATTGTGGTCGATATGTGGAGGAATGCAACCACCCTCATCGTAGATGTTAATAATAAAACTATTTGGAATGCAGGTGCTCATCGTAGACGTTAATAATAAAACTATTTGGAATGCAGGTAGTGGGCATAATACTTCATCTGACCATTCTTTTGATCATCGCTTTATCATTGGTGGTAGTGGAACAACTTGATCGTGTCTGAGGATCCCAGACGGATTCCCCTGTCTATTATTTATGAAGTTATAGCAATAGCCACACTAGATAGTAATCCTATTTTTTTGCTCGCATCCATTTCCTCGGCTCAGAATATGTCCTTTCCATAAGTAAACCCGCTCGACCTCTGTCCCTTAGGTCAAAAATGTAGTTAAGAATACTTTGTTCGTCATTCTCTAAGAAGACTCTGGTATACAGTTCTAATCCCTCCAGTATGTTGATGAATTTTCCCTGTACTTCTTCGTAGAACTCGAAGTCTCTTTTTTTTGCTTTTCTTATTTTATAATCTTCCATCGTACTCGGGGTCGGCAGTTGTTGCGGGTATTCCCTCATTTGAACATCAGTGGGAACCCAAGCTGTGTTGTCTTTGGCTCTAATGGAATTTATGATTCTACATCTGACAGGATGTTTGGCTCTATATCCTGTGGAACATACGGCTCTGCATCCGTTGAGTCATATGGGTCTGCCTCTATCAGGTAATCAGGGGTCTGAGATCCATCATCGGTAGATGCTTATTACTTTAATGTGTTGTAGTGCTATAGGTGTAGTACATTGTAGTCCAGGTACTCCACGAATGCCCCTGTAGCTGAAGCTCATGCAAGTATTTTAACATTGCAGGTAGGGCAACCCGTACATAGAACAACTGAAGCTGGTAGTATCTTTGGCTTTGTCACAAACTTGGGCTCCTCATGCATAGCAGGTTGGCTGGAGGAGGTCTCTTTCATGCCCGGATCATAAATTTGTCCCTTAGGAATATGAGTGAGCAAGTTGTCTGCCTCTTTCTGGCGTCTCTTCTCTTCTCGTAAGAAGGCTCTTTGTTTGCGTCGGCTGGCGTTTCTTCATTGTGTTCTTCGCAGTGGAGCAAACGATATCCTTTCATTATCAGCAGCAACTAGGCCCCCAGTTGACTTAGCTATCATGGATGGTAAACAGATGGGCCCCACCATCAGGTCCTACTGTACCATCATGTTTTTTTCTTTTCAGTGATGCACTGTCTGTGGTGGCCACCCTTAGTATTGAGGACATCTCTCCTTTTTCCCATCAAGTGAAGAAATTCATTAAAGTCCCCTCGTAGTTCATGTCGACTTGGTTAAATTTCACATCAAAATCTATAGTGCCGCATAGCGGTGCCGATTCTTCATTTAGTGTGAGATTCCAGCCATCTTTGAAGGCAAAGATCAGCCTCTAGCCTGACATTTCTCTGCAGACGACAGGAAAAATGTCACTGGGCTAAAACTTAGCGTGAGCAAGAACAAAAAAAAGTATTTATTAAAGGAAAATTTTATTTATTTTGGTGAAGAGATCGTTTATTTATGTGTGAATTTCATTTCAATTAGAGGCATATTAAGTTTCAAAAGAGGAAATTGAAGTGTGTAATTTTCAAAAAATTTATTATGTTGAGGTTAATTTTGTTACAAAAATTTGGACACATTTGGCCACATAGATAACCCCAAAGCAATCAACATTTTAAAATTTCAAATCATACTAAAATTTAAAATCAAACAAAGGCAAGCAATGTCAGGTTGCATAGTATGTCTTCAGGTATCATCCGTTGATTGGTATCATGAGTCTTTCACCCCGGAAGTCTACTAACTGGTAGGCTCCTCCTGCATAAACCTTTTCAACGACAAATGGTCCCTCCCAAGTTGGCTCAAAATTTTCACCTATCTTGTGGTGTGCAAGAATATGTGCAAGAATTGTGCAAGAATAGGCCTTTTGAGCACGAGAACAAGGTCATCAACTTTAAATGTCCTTGAGCGGACCAATTTATTATGAGCTTGTACCATTTTTGCCTAGTAAAGTTTCAGATGTTGTTGTGCTTCAAGTCATTTTCCTTTCAAACACTCTAGTTCCTCCAGCCTGACCTTTGCACTTTCTTCTATTGTAAGTTGGTTGGCGATTGTGACTCTGAGAGACGGCTTCTGAAGCTCTAACAGTAGCACAACCTCAGACCCGTACACGAGCATGTATGGTGTACACTGAGTGGGAGTCCTGAACCTCATCCGGTAGGCCAGCAAAGCTTCTAATTATTTTTTGTGCTATTCCCTTTTATTTTCATTAAAATTTGTACCAATGCTTTGTTGAAGGCTTCAGCCAATCCATTTGCTCTGGATAGTAAATTGTAGAGTATCTCCAATAAATCTGATGTTTTTTGACAAAATTGTTGATTTTGGTTCTTTTAAAGGCTATCCCATTGTTGAAAATTGTTCTTCGAGGTACTCCGAAATGGTTGATGATTTGGATTTTGAACAATTGAAGAACGTGTTGTGTCGTAACCTCTAGTAACAACACTATCTCTGCCCATTTTACTGCCTCTGCCCTTTTGGAGAAGTAATCCATAGAAGCAAGTATATAACTGTGTCCTTTGGAGGATGGAGGGTCTATCAGACTTATTATGTTCGTGACCCAACACTCGAATGGACACGAATCAACGGTTGGGTGTAGCACATTTGTAGGTTGTGTAAGACCACCCCATGCAGTTGACACTGATGACTTTTTTTGGCTGCATCCATGTAGTCGGACATCGTTGTTGGCCAATAATATCCGAGTCTCTTGATCTTCATTTTCATTTTTGGTCCTGATTGGTGAACGCCACACAATCTGGTATGTAATTCTTTGACAATATTTCGAGCTTCGGTTTTGCTTATGCAAGATAGCCACATCTGGTCGAATAGAGGACATCACCAACCAAGGCGTATGTCATAGCCCTTTTTGTAATATGATGTGCTTCAGACTTGTCTTTTGGTAGTTTTCCAGTATGCAAATATTCTATTAATGGCTTGCGCCAATCTTTGTTAATATCTGCAACTACAATCATTGCTTCTTCTTTTCTGATCTTGTGTAGATTATTGAGGTCAATTTGAGACAAAACTTGTCTTCCTTGTACTAAGATTTCAATGGACTTCTCAGAGGGACACGCCAGTTCTTTAACGAGTTTTGCTAGAGAGTCGGCATAGGCATTACTCCCCTAAGAATCAGGTAGAAAGTCACGTAGGAGATTTGCTCCAGTAGCTTCATCGCTTATCGATGGTATTCTGTTAGTCTTTATTTTAAAATTTTGTATTGTCCGACAACTTGCTAGATGACAAGTTGAGAGTCACCGTAGATGGCAACGTTTGTTATATCCATTGAGATTGCCAACTCCAATATGGCGATTAAAGCTTCATATTCTGCTTCATTGTTAGTTCACGACTCTGTCAGGTGAAATGAGAACCTCAACATACCCTTATCTGGCGTGATAAAGATCAAACCAATTCCTGCTAGGCCTGGTATGACTATGCCTGATCATTTGTCTTTTCTAGCTGATGAAGTACTGTCAAAGTACATCATCCAGCGTTGTGCACTAGAGAATTCCATTTGTAACACTTGCTCATCTAGTAGTTCGTCGTTGAGAGGGGACCCAGCTGGCAGTGGTTGTGCAGCAAGAAAGTCTGCTAGAATCTGTCCCTTGATAGCACTGAGGGGAACAAAAGTTTTATCAAATTGTAATAAGATCATCGACCATCTTGCTCGACCATCTTGCTCATCTTGCTAGACGTCCGATGAGTGTTGATTGGATCATCAAATATTTAAATAGTTTACTTTTGAAATTAGGGTAATCTTATGAGAGAGCATGTAATGTCTAAGCTTTTGGGCGGTGAAAATTAACGTCAGATAATGCTTCTCAATAGTAATGCTTCTCAAATGCTTCTCAATAACTGGATACCTTATTTCCATCGGTATTAGACGATGACTCAAGCAGTAGAGTGTATTTTCTTTACCCACGTCATTGACTTGGGCTAAGAGGACTCTAAGAGAGCCATCTAGGGTTACGATATAAAGTATCAAAGGTTTCCCTAGGATAGGGGCTGCCAAAACAAAAGATGTCTTTAAATACTATTTAACATCCTCGAAGGCCTGCTGGCATTTCTCTTCCTAAAAGAATTTGGTATCCTTTTTAATTAATGTCGAGAAGGGCTAACACCTACCTAAGAGATTAGTAATAAAACATCTAAGATATGCCAACTTCCCCTGGAAGGAACGGTTATTTTAAGGTATTAGGAGGAGGCATTTCTAAGACAGCTTTAATCTTATCTTGGTTGATCTCGATTCCCTGATGACGGACAATGAATTTTAGAAACTTCGCAGAGGTAACACTAAAGGTGCACTTTAAGTGATTCATTTTAAGGTCATATCATTGTAACCGTTTGAACCAGATCCTCAAATCGTACAAATGGTCTATTTTTTACTTGCTTTTGATGACCAAATCATCCACGTAGCCTTCCACTTGATTATGCATGAGGTCATCACGAATCTTCGTCATTGCTCGTTGATATGTTGCTCCGGCGTTCTTTAACCCAAACAGCATCACTGTTTAGTAGAAAATCCTGATCGGTGTCCTGAAGGCTGTAAGTGATGCATCCTTGGGAGCCATCTTGATTTGGTTGTATCCCGACGATCCATCCATCAAAGAGAAGATTTCATGTGTAGAAGCGATATCCACCATCATTTTTGGCATTCGTAGTGGAAACTCCTCTTTCGGCCATGCTTTGTTTAAATCCCTAAAATCTACATATACACGGATTTGCCCATTTTTCTTCTTGCTAGGTACAATATTAGCCAACCACGTGGGTTATCTCTCTTCTTGCATAAAGTTATCGTCTATTAATTTCCTTACTTCGGCGATGACTTGTTGCTCTATTTCGAGGCACATTCTTCTTGGAGCTTGATTTATTGGGATTATATTCTTGTCCACCCCGATTTTATGAACTACAACTTCTGCTGACAGTCCAGGCATTTCATCATAACTCCATGCAAAGCAATCTTTGAATTTTGTTAACAATTTGATCAACCGTAGAGATTCTTCATCGTTGAGTAGAGAACTTATAAATGCAGGTTGTGGTTGTTCTTTAGTCCTGAGGTTACTTTTGTTCAATTCATCAACCGTTGATTTAATTTTCTTCTCAAATTCTAGTGGAGCATCTTCTATCAGTTGATCAGTAGAGTCATCTTCTATATCAAGGCAATCTTCTCTTGATTCACTAGTAACAACCATAAAAAATTATGAAGCATCGACTGGTCTGACTGTACCAAATCTGAGTCCCTTCCTTAAGTTGGGAATTCGACTTTTAACACTCCATAATTTTTCAAAAAGTTTTAATTTATTATTTGGTATTTATTTTAGCAAATGTCCTTATTGAATTAACTTTTGTACATAAGGCAAAAAGTAACCAAAAGGCAATTCCATTAAGTCATTAGAATTATCATCCAAATTTACATGATTTTCAAAATTAGTAGAGGTCAAAGCATGGTAGAATTTGATCGGATTTGAACCAACATTACGGACTTCCGTGACCTCTAAACTCTCGACCTTTTGAGGGAGGATCAGAGCAAGGGTCATAGTATTCACATAGTGGTTTATGCGATTGTACATCGTCTCATATTCTCTTTTTTCTGCATCTTCTATGGATGTCTTGTACTACGGGTTCTTCCATTTTTTCATCATCTTTGTCATCATTATTTCATCTTCAAAGCTATCATCATCACCGATGTTGATGGTTGGCCTAGTCCATTCAATGATTAAGTTGGTTCTTGCTCGTCTACATCCCCGACCTCGACCTCGGGTGCATGAACTAAAAGAACCCCCCCACCAACCTATTGTAAGAGAGTAGTGGAAGATTGCTGAAGCGGAGTTGAATGGACCTTCCATTATACTTCTTTTGGATCTTTACTTTTGTTTGTTGCAATTTTGCGAGAGAAGACAGATTTCTTTGAAGGCACGTAGTAGACAGAATCTTCATGAATGTCAACTTCATGAACTGAAAATGGTTGTAGATCTCCTTTGATGTAATGTTCTTATCCTTCTTTGTAGATCCTTCTTTGTAGTACTTAGTACTTGATGCACTGGTGTAGAGACGATGGAAACATGTTTTTCTCATGAATCCATGGTTGACCTAGTAGAGCGTTGAAATAGGTCTCGACGTCAATGATATGAAATTTTGCGGTTTTTGCTAGTTCTCCAAACTTCATAAACAATGTAATCGATTCAGGGGCTTTTTCTCCCTTTTGGTTGAATCCTCTTAAAATCATTTTATCGGCCGTAAGCTCTTGAGCTTCAAAGTTCAAATAGGGCAATGTTCGTAGACTCATCAAGTTGAGTGATCCTTCAAGATCTACCAAAACTCTGAACAACACAAATCTGCTTATGTTGACCGGGATGTAGAGTGGCCGGTGGTATCGAGCAGCAAATCTTCATTGGTGAAGGTCACCCCAGGCTGTTCTTTCAATGAGCAAACTTCATCTGAGAATATGCTGGCCAACTGAACTTAGCAAATCACTGGGTCGAGCAATGTTGTAACCAGAGACTCTCTCATCTCCTTTTATAGGATCGGAGTGTCATAGATGCTTAATTGGGCCGACAACGTCCTAAGATGAGCTAGCACATTTTAATGCACTTTGTATGGTCCTCCAATTTTCACTTGGTTATGTGTTTCTTCCACTGGTGGAGGTGGAGGTAATTCTTCTTGAGTTACTATTTATTTTCCTTTATCCATTAGAGCTATTCTCGGGGGTAACACTTTCCCGCTTCTCAGGTTTATTTTTGTACTTTCATCTTCTTGAGGTACCTTTATTGATTTTTCTGGTGTCTCTTCTTTGCCAGAAAGATCTTTTGATGGCAAGTGGTGTACCGTGGTGCTCGAGGGTTGGCTCCTTACTTCTGGTGCTGTCGTGGCCGTCGTCATTGATGTCTTCTTCGGTATTGTTAGCGAGTTTGTCAGACTCAAGTACGATTTGAGGATCATTTTAGGAATCAAGATTGAAGTTAGATTGGTCATAACCGATTACATTATCACTAGAAACAGTTAAAATGTAGCCAAAATTATGATCTTTATATTCATAAGACCACGAAGGGGAAAGAAGATAATCATATAAAGTTTAGGGTTTGAAAATTTTCTTCTCCAAATATGAGACAACCAATCTAGCAGAGGTAGCCCCTATCCTACCCTCTATGCTATCAATTTTTACGATGGCATTCTTCTTTTTCTTAATCTTTGATAATGATGGATCTTGTGGTATAATCTTCATCTCGGGTTTGGGAGGCTGAAGATTCTGAACGGAGGCTTGTTTTGACGCATTCTGGATTTGATTCAATATTATTCAATATTTTCTGGGATAATTTTCTCCAAACCGTACTCCATCCATCTTTTCCAGTGTATGTTTTTTGTTTCGATGAATTCTGGATTTAATTTACGACCCTCTTGAGTTTGTCCCATGTCGTACTCCATCCATCTTCTCCAGCATATGGATCAATAAGTGGGATTGGCTCGATCGAAATCATATTTATAGAACCTTTTTCAGGTTCTTTTAAATATTCTTTCGAGATTGTTATAGTCCCTTCTTTAAGATTATTTTCAAGCCAATCTTTAAAGATGAAGCATTCTTCTATAGTGTGTCCCAGCAATCGGTGATACAGGAAATATTTTGGTTGATCTTTAATGTCAACTTCCTCGCGAAAGTGGATATGTTTATGATAATTCTAACTCGTCCTAGTGAGGATCTTCCTAGATAGGTATTTCCTCAGGATTTTGGGCTTTAGTGGCCCTTCGAACCTTCCTGCTACGATTTCTCCTCTGAGTTTGGGTTAGCGGTGCAGCCTTTGAACTTAATCTGATTTCAAATACTGATGGCGGGATGGTTAATCCCTTAGTTGGATCTTCAATGATCATTACTTCTTTCCCCTTAGCAGCAGCAGGGACAATAGGCTTGGTAGGTGCCACGACGGCAGTAGTCTTGGCTTTCTTATAGGAAGAGATGTCCTAAAGACAGTTCAGGTTGAGTTTAGCAAACGACTCCTAAACTTCTGGAGCGGTGACTTTCATCATGATGAACGGAGCCTTCCCGACAATAACCTTGAGGTCTTCAAATCCAGCTCCAAACATAATGGTGGGAGCAACGTTTTTGGCTTCATGGCTTGTCGGCAAGTTGCACGAAAAGGTCAGCATTGGGTAAGCCATTGCAACAGCTTTAAAACAGAAAGTTCTAGGGTTAGCTACATGGCCAAAACCTTGAAATCTTTAGTGCAAGCACTAAAAATTAATAGAGGTTGGTTTGTAGACCGGGTAAATTTTAGTTTGCGGGGATTTTAAAATTTTTAGTAAAAAGGTAATTTGAAAGTAGAAGAATTTAATTAATTTTGAAGCACGCACAACACAACACAATTTGATTTAATTTGCAAAATAGCAAATTAAATTTGGAAGGGAGGTGTGAAGTGTTTAAGACCCAGTGCGGGACCCATTTAACATCACACCCCACATGAAGATTTAAAGAGTCCTTAATGGCCTCCTGAACCCCTCTATTCAATGGTGATTCAACAGACAATCCTGAAGTCCAAAGAGTTGGTCGTACTTTCCCAAGATAGAAAAGGGTAAAGTATGTCAATGGAAGAAGGGTAATTTGGCCCAGGAGGGACATGGACACATTACTGATCTATGAAGATAGTGCTTTCTTAAGATAGTGCTTTTCTCTAGCGGATAGGATAACTATCCCGCCCAGGAGGGACGGGATAGTGCTTTCTTAATTTAAACGACACTATTTTGATTTGGGGAGTGGCCCGCAAGAAGCTGTTAGTCATTGGAATCGAAATCCCGTCTTTCGCTTCGGAAGGACATTTTAAGATTTAAGTTTAGAGAAATATGAAATCAAAATGGCCCCAGATTTTTCATAGTTTAAATGAAAGAGCGTTGTACCTCAAACTTTGTATCTATCCAGAAGGGTGGGGCTCGATCATGAGGGTGGGGCTCGATCAAATAAACTAAGAAATGTATGACGTCTGTTTGGTCTGTTAAACCGTTTTATTTTCTGACAATTTTCCCTATTCAATATGAAAAATTAATTAGGGTTTAAGCTGGGTTCGGAAAAGTTTCCTATAAGGGTAAGCCCCTATAGTTAATTACATCTTAAATGACCAAAGTCAACTAAGAAGACTTTCAATAAAAATTAGGAAATATTATTATCAAGGATTTAAAAAGGATAGGATTGTTCAACGAGATCAGACAGAGAGGTATGAAGTGTGATTTTCTCAAGTTTGGAACATTTTGTTTTTGGAATTAAAAGGAGAAAGAACTAGGGGATGTCATGGATCCAGAGGAGAATTTAAGTGACTTCCCAAGCTATCCTATTGTTTGGCTTCAGGAATTAAAAGGAGAAAGAACTAGGGGATGTCATGGATCCAGAGGAGAATTTAAGTGACTTCCCAAGCTATCCTATTGTTTGGCTTCAGTTTTGTGGAGAAATATTTATGCGTTTTATCCTGCCAATTTTATTTATTTAGGACTTACATTCATGTGAAACAATCACACAAATGGCCTGAAAGATGTGAGGGTTTAGGGTGAGGGTTTAGGTCGCGGTTTAGGTCACGACGAACGACAACATCAGAATCTTAAGCGATTTAGGGCTTATATTATACAGTAGAGTTGTATGAAGTCCTAAAGATGAGGTAAGGATTTATGTTACATAAGCAGAAAATCTCAAAATCCTACGGTTTGGTTGTTTAATTCTAAGGAAGGAATTGGTTTAGCTAGGGAAGACGGGTTCTGCTGCTAAAGATGGCCATGCTGTCCACCATGCTAGCTTCAAGCTCCTTGTAGTTACGAGTTTAGGTTTTCTAGGATGTCCAGTCATGATGTCAAATCAGATGGCTTTATGATTGTACTTCTTTAAATATTATGGGGCATGTTAAAGTTGATTAGAGCGACATCGGTTAGGATCCTACGATTTCATTGTTTCGATACCACTATTTTCTATTGGATTCACTTAGTCCAAACAAATTTACTATACTTAATGTAATTTGTTCCATAATTTCATTTAGACTGTGGTAAGTCTCGTTAGTAACCATAGGTTACCTCCTCCGCGGGATTCCCGATCATCTTATAGAGACGTCTTAATTTAGTTGTAGTTGTGATTTTGTGTGATTTTTTTGATTAAATTTTGAGTTTTTTTATTTTTTGATTAAATTTTGAGTTTTTGATTAAATTTTGAGTTTTTTTATATTTTAAATGTTGTGGCGATGAAATTTAGCTTGGTTGATTTTCGTTTTTGTTTTGGTTTTATGGCTATCCTGATAGTTTTAGTTTTCATACAGGGTGACATCGTTTTTTAACATGCAAATTTGTGTTAATATCTAAAGTACAATATGAAATAACAAGAAAGATGGCGTTGTAAACTGTAAAAGTTTACCTGGCGAGTCTTCTAATTCCACCATCTAAAACTCAAAATACATGTCAGGGCATTTTATATGAAGCGGGAAAGTAATGTTTTGGCGGCCAACCTAACCGTAGGTCATATCTTGGTGGGTCACTATTATTTTGATTATGGATGATTTTTGTTAAGCAAAACATACTAATTTTAGTAGACCTCCGAGGTATCCGATAGGTCTAGAAGAAGAAGCCAGTTCTGGCAAAAGAAGAAGGTCCATGCTTCCCTCTCTCCACCTGGTGAAAAGCCTCAAGCTCATTTAAACTTATTATGTTGCTTAATAAATCAATCCTAAAAATACTTTAATGCTCAGTGAACATTGATGTTTGAACTAACCCTAAAAGTAGGGTAATTATCATTTGTGATTTAATTTGTAAATTATGTGGGTGAAAACTCTTAAAGAGGCAAGTTAGCACTATCAAAGACATTTAGCCAATTTTTTAATTTGGGTTTGTAGTGTTCCAAAGGTGTTTAATTTTAGCTATGTTTACTTTTCTAATCCACATTTAATCATATTTGATTAGCCTAGGTCACTACTAAGCCCTTAAGGTTTTGGTGGATGTCTTAGTGTTTTTTTGAAAGAGATTAAAATTTTAAGTGATGAAGATTCATTTTTTAACACTTTTGAAAATAATTTGAACCTTAAATAGGGGTATTAAATTAGTGAGTTATTAACACCCAAAACTATACCCCTAAGTCTAGGATCATTTGGTTAACTAGATTTCCAAATTTTAAAATTTTAAGGAAGTTACAAATTCATCCATTAATTAACAAAAGTTAGATTGGTTTCTACCAAATAATCCCCTTGTTATTCAACCATCTAAATAAGTTAGTTAAAACCAGAGGTTATCATTTTCCCTCTTCGAATTATGCCTAAATGTTTAATTAAGGCTAAATTTCAAAAATTACACTTTTGTCCCTCAGGCTCTATCACTTCATAATTTGTCCAATTTAATCCAAATGACCTTGAAATTTTTATCTTACCTTACTCATGGGTCAATTAAGACATCAGAGGAGAAAAATATGATTTTTCAAAATTTTATTTGATTTACATAATTATTTTTATGCAAAAATAGAATTTTTCAAAGAAATTTTCATAACTTGACCAAGACAAAGCCTAATCCCTTGAAATAAGACAAAGCCTAATCTGACCAAGACAAAGCCTAATCCCTTGAAATTTTTACTGAGGTAGACTTATATCAGAGAACCATTTGGACAAAATTTCATGATTTATTAAATTTTTTGTGATTTATTAGAATTATTTTAAATTCTGGAGCATTTATTAATTATAAATTATTTTACGTGTGGAAAATTAAGTTTTATATTTTTGAAAAATCTCCCCGAGTTCAGTGAACCTAGAGAAGCGAATTTTACATTTTTTTTTATTTTTATTTGGTTTATTGGAATTATTTTGGTGAAAATCCATTTTTAGCTTTTAAAAAATTATTTTAGGCTTTAAATTTCAATATCTTCACTTTGAAAAAGAAGAAAAATATTCCAATT